AGCCTGTATGTAGCACCCACCTGGGCACCGGACTGGTTCGGGTTTGGGGCCGTTTCTCATTCTTTGGGGTTGTTTTGGGGGTGTTTTTTTTTTTTTTCTCTTTTCTTTTCTTTTCCTGGTTGGTTGTTGCCGATCTGAAATAAAACTGGGATTTCTGAAGTGCTCTGGGCTGCTGGGGCTCCTGGCGATGCGGGAGCAACGTGGGGGGCAGCAATGGGGACAGGCACGGGGTGATGGGTGCCGGGCGGGTGCAGAGCCATGGCAGCACCCATGGGTGCTACTGAGCCACTGCCAGTGCATGGCCGAGTCCTCCTGGCAAGAGGGGTGGGCAGTGGCTGGGGGGTCTGTGGCCCCCTCAGCATCCCAGGGGGCCTGTAGCATCCCCAAAACTGGGTCTGGAGGGGACCCCGCTCCTTCCCAGTGGCTCCCACCAGTGCTGGGAGGGGGGGGTTACACCCTCATGTCCCCTACCCTGGCCCAGCCATGGATCCTGCCACAGATCCTGCCCTTTCCCATGGATCGGTGCGAGCGCCAAGCGCTTTTATCCGCCTGCCTCGTCCCGTGCCCTGCTATTTTCTGTTGCCATTTGGCCAATGTTTTAAGGCTGTTTGCCTTATAAAGTGCCTCGACGGGGAGAACGCGCAGCTGCTATGCACCTTCCCAAAAGTGTTTCCACCTGGCTCAGCGGCAAATCTGGGGGAGCCAGGATCTGGGGGGTCACAGGGCCTCTGGGGGGGACCCCATCCCAGGGCCAGGCTGGGGACCCTGCCCCACGGCTGGCAGGAAGGGGAGCGCCCTTACTCCTTATTTACACCACGGTGGGGTCTGGCCCCACCTGTAATCCCCTGCGCTGAGTGACGCCATCCCGCTGGTGACAACACGGCCCTGCTCCTGCAAACCACCCTGGCGAACCCGGCTGCGTGTGCTCGGGGGGGCCCGCGCCTGCCTGACAGATCGCCCTCCCTGAGCCCCCAAAATGATGCATTTTTAATGACAAATAGATTAAAATAATAAATAAAAACAAGGGAAGCTCTCGGCGCCATGAGCAAATTGGACAAGCTGCTGCGCCCCCGCCGCAGGCGGTGCCGGGGGGGGGTTCCCATGGGGAATGGGGCTGGTGGGGACCATCCCTGGGGCATTGGGGCTGGGTGACCCCAGCCTCCAACTCCCTGCAGCCCTGTTTGACCCCCACGTGGGGAAAATGTGTTTCCTTGTGCCTGCCTGCGACCTCCCACCCTCCAGCCGGGCGTCCCCAGCACTGAGAGGGGGGGACACCCCGTTTTCGGGGATGCCAGGTGGAATCGGCTGCGTTTATTGATTTGGGTTTGGGGTGTTTTTGATCTCCTATAATTTATCAAACAAATTGAACTGAACATCCAAATGAGAAATGAAAATGGGAAGTGCTCCACGGCAATGAAATCATTTCGGCTGCCTCGCAAAGCGGGGGGAGGCTCCGCGCCCGTAATGAAATTTCATCCATCTCCCCGCAGAAAGTTTTGATTTTTTATGAACTGGCATTTCCAAAGGAAGCCACGTGGCCTTGGTGATGGGGGGGGTATATATACATATATTTTTTTTTAACCAGGTCTATTACAGACTCTGTGAATAAACATAAGGGGACCAAAAAGAAAAGAGGACAATTTAATTTGCTAGAAAATACAATAAGATAAAAGAAAAATTAGATAAAAGGAATAATGCGATCCCCCAAGCTCAGCTTTTCAAAGCTGCCAATTAATTTTAACGGGAATTGGGGGAATGGATTTCTTCAGGCAGGTTTGGAGATGGCAGCTCCCGATGCAGGAGCGGCTGGGCTGCAGGCGGGCAGCATGGGGGCCCGACCACGTTCCCCACGTGCTGGCCTCGCACGGCTCTGCCGCAGCCGGGGATGGCTCATTGCGGCTGCTGCAAGACAGCAATGTTCCTCGCTAATTTAATTAAATGCTTGCTAGGAAAGGGAAAAAAAATAATCTTACTATGCAAGCGCTGCAGTGGGATGAGGGGAGGTGCAGGGCTGCCGCGAGTGAGGGGAGGTGGGAGGGGGATGGACCCTGCGTGGGTGCCACCAGCAGTCTCTGCCGGACAGAGCAAAACACCGGTGCCAAGATTGCCATAGCACCGAGGAGCATTTTGGGATAGGACGGGCAGGAGCTGGTAAAGGTTGTTCTTCTCTCTGGCACCTCAAGCAGTCTGGGATGGTCTCAGACCCATCCCCGTCCCATCCCCATCCCTGTTCCCATCTTCATCTCCATCCCCATTCCCATCCTTCTCCCCATCCCTGTCCCCATCTTCATCTCCATCCCCATCCCTCTCCCCATCCCCATCCCATCCTCATCCCTGTCCCATCTTCATCTCCATCCCCATCCCAGACCCCATTCCCATTCTTATTTTCCATTCCAGTCCTGTCCCCATCCCTGTTCCCATCTCCGTCCTCATCACCCTTCCCATCCTGTCCCTGTCCTCATTCCCATTCCCGACCCCCCCTCCTCTCCCAGCAAGAGCTGCCAGAGGACACCGGGCAGAGCCCAGCGGGGCTGCGCCTTGGCAGCGGCCCAGGAGCTGCTCATTTCCCTAAAAGCTTCCCGATAAATTACTCCTGCTCTTGCTCTATAAAAGCCACTTTGGCTCGTGCTGTCACCCATGGGCCGCAGCTCCTCACCGCCCCCCCCGGGGCACCCAGGACCTGCCGAGGACACCGAGCCCCGTGGGGCCGTGCGCATCCCTGCAGCATCCTTTGGGAACAACCCCGCTGCCCCCCGGGGCTGCCTGGGAGCGAGGGATGGAGCTGAGAGCCTTGTCCTGCTCTGGCGTCTTCGCAGCGCTCTGCAAACAGCCTTTTCGCCAGGTTAGCGCACGCTGGCTGCGTCCCGTCCCCGGCAGTGATACATGCCATCGTTACATCGCCTGACACCACGCGGTAAAACATGCCTCCATAAAAGCCTGTAATTTACAGGCTCCAGCAAGTACCTGGGAGTTACATGGCTCCATGAACGCATGACACCCTGCAAGCGATGCCCAGCTCGGCCCCGACGGCTGGAGAGCACACAGGCTTTTGCAGGAAAACCCCATTTTAATTAACCCCCCCCTCTTGCTGGCCCCTCTCAGCCTCCCTGTGCAGGCTGGTGCTTGGCAGGGAACGCTCCCGCTCTCGGCTTTCAGGCTTTACTGGGGGTTTCTGCGCCACGAGCAGCTCGTGTCTTTGGGAGCGAGGAAGAGCGCAGAGGGGCTGCGGCTGCATTTGTGTTTTATGCTGTGATTTTCATTTATGGTTGGGTTTTGCAGTTCACCCAGGGAGCTGCCTGGTGCTCCAGCCTGCTCAGCCGGAGACGTGCTTTTCTACCAAATGTAAGCTGGGTCTGGGGAGCAGTTTCAGAGCTGGGAAGCTTCTGAGTGTTGGGTAAAGCAACACCTCCCGGAACAGCACTTCCATGGGTGCGCCCAAACACACCAGGACCGGAGCACACGGAGCAGGGAGGGGACCTGGGGGCTGATAGAAGCCCGTCTCCAAACACAGGTGAGGAACTGCAAAGTATTTTGATGGCTGATTGTGAAACAGCCGGCGCACGCTTCGCTGCCGTCCTCGAAACATCTGAGATGGGAAGGGTCGTTCTTTGATTTGCCTCTGTCAGCAGCGGTGGCGGCAGCCGTGGCCTCGTTAGGAAGGCGCCCGCGCGTGTGGCCTGGCTGCCCCTGCCAAGACTCAGACTTACGGCAAAGCCGTTTGTCACCCTTTGAAGTCAGCGGAGCAGTGGGGGCAATGGGCTGAGCCCCCCCACGCCAGCAGCCCCCGGGGCTCTCCCCCTGCGCCGCACTGGGGGCACGGGGATGCACAAGATCAAAGCAGGTTGGAGAGAGCAGCCAAAGCTGCTCCTGCGATGGCTGAGAGCAGAGCTCAGCAGCTCACGCCCCCTCTCTGGAGCATCCCACAGCTCCTTTGGGGTCTTCCTGCCCCCGCCTTTGGCCTCCTGTAGCTGTGCAACCTCTGCGCTCAGGGCAGGGGTCCCCTTCCTCCAGGGGACTCCAATTTTCCCCCAGATAGATGCCACATGGGTGCTCGGTTACCCACACGTGCCGGCTCCTGCAAGGGGAGGCAAGGATGGGCCTCGGGGCTGATGCCGCCTCCTGAGCCCAAGCCCCGGGCTCCTGCTCTCCAAAGACCAGCAAGCACAGGGCTCAGCAGAGCGTCCACAGCCACACCAGGAAGGATAAACACACCCTTAAGTTTGGCTTAAAGCTCAACCAGCCTCTGGCCAAGGCTGGTTTCCCCGCTGCAGCAGGGCTCACGCAGCTCCGCACCCAGCCATGCCACGGTCACTTCCAGCTCATGGATGGGCTAGGGCTGAGGGCTCCCGAGGACCACCTGCCTGCACGCCCTGAGGTGGCAGCTCTGCCCTGTCCCAGGCAGCTGAGTGCCGGCACGATCCGGGTGAGATTTGGCCAAAGGCAGCTGGCTCCTGCCCGCGCTCTTCATGAATCTGGACCTGCTGCCTCCACACATGGCCAAACCTGAAATGCACTGGCAGGGGTGCAGCCACCCTGGACAGATGCCGCTGCTGGAGAGCTGCTCTCCCGGGATGCTGCTGGCCGGGATCCCCCGCCTGCCCAGCAGCTCTGCAGTGAAGCCAAGCACCCACTTGTCTTCCCAAGGACGCCAAGCTGAGGACCTTGTTCATCCCCCCCTTTCCTGGTGAGGAGAGGCGACTCCGTAAAACTCACTGTGGCAGCCATGTGGTTGGGCTGGGCTTGGCCATACCAAAGCTGCACCCTAAAAGCACCCCTATAATCTTTTCCAGGGCAGCCCTTCCAGAGCAGTAAAGAGAAGCCAGAGGCAGGGTTGGTGGCCTTCCGCGGCCACTGCGCCTGGTCCTCGGCTACCAGTGCACCCCCACAGCAAGCAGGAGGGCCATGGCGTCCCTCCTCGCCCCTTCCCAGCTCAAGCCCCCAGCACACATGCCCACCCAGCCAGCTCCCGTAGCAGGGAGCGACCCATGGAGGTATTGGCCCCGCTGGCACTCACCATTTACTCAGTTTCCTGGAGAAGGAGAAACCTTAAGATGTTTTTTTCCTCCTTGCTTCTCAACCTTCAGCACAGTGGGAGCAGGAGCGTAGGGCTTACGGGAGCTCCCCAAGCTCTTCATTAGGAGCTCTGGCACCTGAACCGAAGCAGTTTTACACACTGAATTTAACAGAAGCAAACATAATCATAAACAATGGAGGAAATATTAAACATCAGTTTTAAAAGCTTGGCTACAGCTCCCTTCCCTGGCTCGGATCAGCCACATTGACCCCGGCCACAGAACTGGACTGAAAGCAGGCAGCGCAGGGCACAGGCAGCAGCGGTCCGAGGAGACGGATGCTGCCTGGGGAAATGGGGACTGTCTGCTCCAGACGACAGCCCCTCCGTGCGGAGCGGGAGCTCTGCTGAGCGCAGATCCCCATTCTGGTGGCAGGGAGACAACCACCCGACCAGCTCAACCCATGGGAGGCTGCCAGGTGACAAACACCACGACACAGGCAGGCTGCAACAGGGGGGAAGGCTTTTATTGATATCAAAGTGTATATAAATAATTCTGTCCCTTTCTTACAGCAGGCGAGGCAGCAGCAGTCCATCTCCAGCACCACCTCTGTAGGGGGTCCCTGTGCCTCAGCCCCACTGCAGGTGGGGGGGGACTGGCCACCCTCCGGGTGGGGGGGCCTGCAGCGACGGAGGCAGATCCTGCACTGGCGGCCAGCCCGGTGGATACTGGAAAGGTGCTGGTTTCTCAGGCAGAGCACTGGGGAGGTGGGGAGATGGAAGGGCAGAGGTGAGATGGGGCCGTCTCAGTTTGATAGCAAGGCCCTGAGCTTCCTGTGCCCCCTCTGCTAGCCCCCAAAAGAGGAGGGATCCAGCAGATGAGGGTTTTGGTCATCAACAAGCAGGTATATTCACCCACCCCCCGCCCCCCAATCCAACATCAGAACTGCTGCGGAACCAGCCCCCAGCCCCTTCAAGCAGTCAGTGCTCACTAACCTAGTGTACGCCACTGAAAAATAAGGTGGGAGCACTCAGGTAGGGGGTCTGCGGGGGGAGCATGGCTGCTGAAAGGAGAGGCCTTGTGCCGAGAGCACGGCTGGCCCTGTCCCCTCCCACCCCCAGCTGCTCTCGACTCTTCACACAGCTGAGTTTTGAGAAGAACGAACAAAATTAGCAGATGTTTCTTTCCAAGCAGCCTAAATCCCAAGCCAGCTGTGTACTTCCCAAAGGACAAGGACCCCTCGGAAATGGAGAAACTGCCAAAACGGTGGGGGTGTTTTCACAGAAGCACCCTTCAGCAGAGGGAACAGGCTTCCTCCTCCAACTCAGAGCCTGGGAAACACTTCTCTGTCTCTCTCTCTCATGTTTACTAGTTGAGGCCGCTTCAAACGCCACACCTGACCAAAGAAGTGCAAAAGCAAGAAGCATCGCTCCCTTGTCTCCAGCTGAAGAAAGCACTTGGCCAGGGCAGGTTTAAATTAATGGGAAACGTACCTTTTCCATTAATTCCTGAGTGCAGGAAACTCATCTGTTCTTTAGCACAAGCCCTGACAGCAACCTTCCAGCTTCTCAGGCCTCTACCTCTGATCCTGATGAATCTTTTTAATTGTTATGCCAGAAGAAATCTAATCAAACTCCTTTACATAATGCTCCAAAGAAGCAGCACCCTCCTCGCCCCCTGCAGGGCCGACGACGTGGTCAAAAGCCAGCTCCAGAAGTTGAGGGCTGTGTTTTCCAGGCAACTCACACAGAGCAAAGTCATTTGGTTGAACGCTTACCACCTTGATGGGGATTCTTCAGAGCCGAGGATGGGACAAGACTGCTAGGACACAGACCAAGCCCCTCCCGGGCAGGAATGTTTTTTGTTACATCCAGGCACTGTCACTCACGCCGGCAGGGGAGCCCCAGCAACAGCAGGACAAGGCCTGCTGCAAGGTGGAACAGCACAGCTCTCGATGAATGAGCTGTTCTGTGAGCAGCAGAACTAATCAATAGCAAGGATGCTGTCTGGGTACTCAGTTCCCTGGGGCCACTTAAAATACAAGTGCTATCAGAGGCTTACCTAAAGCTGGAGCATTTGGAATGGCTGTCCCATGGGGGTTCTCTGGTGTCCAGTATGGGTCAAGAACATTTCCTTTTTGAAGTAATTAATGGTATCCCTCTCCTCTATCCACTTCCACGTTCGTGAAACCTGTAGTATCTCAGTAACTTTGAGGCCTCAGACCCCTTTCTGATGGAAATCAGCAAGCGGGCTCTACGGCGGCTATGGCAGAAGCACACACTCACATGCACCGATGCGCTGCGATTCCTTTGGAAAGCAGGTTAAAAATCAATCACACCCTGGCAGAGCTCCGCTGCTAAGAGAACTACACTGACTCCACCCCAGCTCTCCAGAAAGCAATGGCACAGTGTGACTTTGAAAACACGTGTCGGGTTGGAGGCCTCCAAATGAAGATTGTGCCCTCGAGCTGGGAGAGTGGTTGCGCAGAGGATGGGTGGAAGGCCGCGTGGCAACTCTGCATCCATGGGGCTAAGCTAGGTGACAATCAGAAATGCTGCTCAAGTTACTGCCTTTAAGCAAGCACTACCTTTCAGCCAAGGCAGTACCTGACCACATGGCCACTTCTAGTCCAGCATGGCGTTTTCTTGTCACCGCAGTGTACTCTGAGACCATGCAAGGCAGTAGCTCCACTTGTGACTGCCTGCCAGCTACCCTGCTAGAAAGCCCCCGGCAAGGCAGAAACAAACTCAGCTACGCTCACAGGCTGAGGCTTAACACAGCGACAGCTTCCCACCACGCTCTGGGAGAGTGTGCTTCCAAGAACTCTTCCATCCCAGCTTGAATCCTTCTTGCTCAGCGCTGCCGGAGAAGACAGGGGTGGAGCTGGGTCTCCAGCATCTCCTTCTGGAGATGACTGCCCTTGAGAGCACTTTCGCTACTGTTTTGTGCAGACTAATGGTCTGTACTGACATCAGCAGCCAGGCAAGGCAGCCCCTAGGCAGATTATCATCCGAACCCACAAATTCCCCAAAGCAGCATTAGACCCTGCCAGAGATTCTGCCACATTTCAGGGACCTTGAAGACTGAAGGGGGGAGAGCGAGCTCCTTGTCCTTAAAAGCATTTTCAGGAGCAATGCAGACTCCCTAGACACCAGGAGCATGGGGACCTGCCGAAAACAGGCCCTCTTCCCTGGCAATGCAAAACAACTTCTCTGGCAGACAAAGCAAAACACAGTTGCTCGGAAGGACAACGCTGGGGCTGGAGAGCACAAGGGGAGAAGAGAAATGATAGGGACAGGCATCGGCAAGGCCAGATAGAGGAAGAGAAGCTTTGAATAGTTGGTGTGTAGCTTCTGAGGGTGGTTTCTGAGCCTGCAGGGGCAGAGAGGCTGGGTAGAAAGCAACAACCCTGGAAATCCCAGGACTTGTGCACCTTTGGAGGCAGCAGGGACCAAGTAGTTCTGAAGGTCTGGAAATTCTTCTGGGTATAACGACGGCTGTCTCTGTAAGAGATGATCTACCCCAAGATCAAGGGATTCTACAGGCAGGACAAGCAAAATGGGGCAAGTGAAGCGTACGGGGGGGTAGGAAGGTTATGGCTGTCAGTGAGCACCACTGCAAGGCTAAGGGCAGCCAAGCTGATGGATGGACCGAACGGAAAGCAACGAGCCCAGACAAGCACCAGAAGGAAGATCCTGCCCAGACCAAACATAGGGAGGACAGGAGCAAATAGAAAAAGAACAAAAGAGAGATTTGGCACCTGCCCAAATGTCATCCAATTAAGCCTGCGGCACAGTCAGGTGAGCAAGGAAACAGCAGGCACCGGCAGGCGCCCGAATCCGAATGAATGCCACGAGGAGGAGCTAATTCCACCCTCTCACTGGCAGGGACAGAACACTGGCAGAGATGTGCAGACTGGGCAGGCAGAGGATGGGGAAAACTGTCAACAGATGAGACCAGGCTCCTGCTGCCGAACTCCGAGCATTAATAACTCATCGCCACAGCGGCACTGTCCTTCCAGGCACATCTGCGCACTCTGCAGAGAGCGCAGGAGTACCCCTCTGCTTGCCTTCCCCAGGGAATCAGCCACAGGCAGTGAGGCCTGGCTTGTCCCCCCCCCCAGGCACATGGGGAGACACGTGCACACATCTTGGACATGGGCATGCAAGACAGGATCCATATGTGTGTCTGTCATGTGTGCTAAGGGCAGGCGTGCAGCGCTGGCAAGCAGAGTGTTAAATGGTAGCTCAGGGGGTCCTGCTGAGCCAGGACCTCTGATCGCCTGCACCTTCTCCTCTCACATTCACACCCCTCTTGTGGGATCCCCCCTCTGTCCGGGCCAGAAGCAGCCGCCAGCCCTCACACGGATGCTCCCCAGCCACCGGTACCTGTTACTCTGAGCTGTGCTCAGTCTCTTTGCTCTCTTCTCCAGCCAGTCCTCAATGGTGCCAGGCGGGACATCTGCTCCCTCCTGCCGCAGCTCCTTCGATCTCTGTTCCCCTGGTTGAGAGAGAGAGGGCTATCAGACGCTCACGCTGCAGTCCTTTCACTCCATTAAACCCGCTGCTCATTACCCTGCATAGGTTCTTATGGTGGCAAGTTTGCAATTTGCCTGTGGCGGCCCCTCCTCCTCCTCCTCCACCTGCCATCTGATGCTTGGCCTCCTCACTGGTGACAGCTCCAGCCAGACAGAGCCGGGAACAAGAACCAAGCCAGTGAGCACGGCGGCAGTTTGGGCACTTAACTGAGGGGAGTCTGACATCTCCCCCTGGGGTAGGTCGTCCTCATCCTCGCCTGAAACAGCCTCTGCTGGCCCTGAGCCCTGAGCCATTTCCAAAGACGTGTCCCTCCAACTGGCAGGAGGGACTTTGCCACCTCTGCCCAGTTAGGTGGGAGTGACAGGGACGTCTGTCCGGATCGATGTAGACTTGGCAGGCCGCGAGAGTCTGAAAGGTTCAGAGTGCATGTACAACTGGGAGACGGGATTTCAGAGATGCTGTCAGGTCTGCTTAAGGCACAGGCTGCGTGATGCATCCCCAGCCCCTGCAGAGACAGGGCGGGAGGCTGTCGCCCAGCCCTGCTCAGCCTAGGTGCAAAGTCAGAGCAGAGCACGGCAGAGGGAGGAGAATGAGTTCCTGCATTTTCTCATGCAAGTTAGGAATGAGCAAGGAAACCAGTGGGAAGTCTCTGCTGTCTACCAAGAGACAGGGCAGCCTGAGGTCCTTTCCAGCTTTTCATCATGCTGGGGGCGTTGCATGGGGCAGATGCCTGCAGGCACCCTGTCCTGCAGCACTGTCCTCTCTGGGCAGAAGGGCAGAGCCAGTGGGACAGCCCAGCACTCACCAGTCCCTCTCACTGGGCAGAGATCTGCAGCTGCCCAGTTAGCAAGGCTCCCCGGCCACCCCTTGGCACCATTAACAAAGCAGGAAGGGATGCTAGCAGAGAACAGGGTCTAGCACAAGTCCTTGACACAAACGACACAGTCACACTCCTGCCAGCACGTCAGGCAGAGCGGGCTGAGGAGACGCTCAGAGCTGTTAGATCTCCAGCCTAGTGGAAAGTTCCCACCTAGCAGAAAAGGGAATGTGATACTTTGAAAAACAAACACTGCTATTAACAAAAAGGAAGCCGAGGCAGCTGTATGTCATTCCCCTTCACCCTGCTCCTCAAACCCTCCTGGACAAGCACTCTGGGGGAACCCTGATCCCATTTAGAGATCAACCTGCCAGCGGTGCCACCCTGGCGGCAGCCACCTGCAGCCGTGCCCACCAGGAGCCTCCTCCACACCTACATGCCATATGTCACAGGTTTAAGGAAAATATTATACGTTTCCAGACAGGGTGTGAAATTAATATTGCTTGGGCAGAGTGAAGGATCACTTCATCCTAGTGGTGGCAACCAATTATTCATCTGCCTGTTGAATATTAATAAGGATGGCAGAAATGTGCTACACAATGAGCAGCCGGAGATGGATAATTTGTCATCCAGCCTTTTCATCTGCTGCTGCTGGGAGGGGTGACGATGTACTCACTGCCACCACAAAGACAGCCTGCTGTGGTCCTGATGTCGAGGTGCTGCTCTGCAACCCGGCAATAAGGATATGGTTGGAGACAGGACTGTTCGAGTCTTCTACGGTTGTTCCCAAGAAGTAAAGCCCCAGCAGAGCTATTTGGGGTCAACCCAACAGCCTGGCCCAGTGATGACACTGGGGAGGAAAGAAGCTCAGTCTGCTGAGCTGGGCACTGCTCAGACTCAGGATATGTGAATTCAGCTCCCAGCTTAGAGTTTTCCAGCAATGTTGGCCACAGCCACTTTCACTTTATTTCCCTTTGTTCCAGGTTTCTCCACCTAGCGAGCACCTGGGCCCCTCCCACCCTGGCAAGGGGACAAGCAGTGGTTGTGAGAGGTTTTGATGAGGCAGGGAGGAAAATCACAGAGAGAAACCTCTCCCATCTCTATCTACCACCAAAATTTCCTTTCCATCCTACTCCAAGCCCCAACACAGAACATACCAAAACCTCTCTGTTTAGAGCAGGGAGCCCCAAGGCCACTGCCCCAAAGTGCCACACCAGGAACTGGTGGGAGCCTATAGACTCAAGCAGCCAAAACTCACTGTCTCATCCAGAAAAGCTCACTGGCTTCAGTGGAACGGCTCCAGACTCATGCTGGCCTAAATGAGGCCTCAGGTGTCCAGATCAGAGACACATCCTGCTGGCTCCCTGTTCACGCAGCTCCATAAGTTACTGCTCCAAAGGACTCCAACCCTCAGGCTGAGAAATAAGGCAGCAGGTACGGGCAACTCTCTGGCTCTGTCCACCTCGACACATGCTCATCAGAAAGGCAAATCTTTCTTCTCATCATCCTCTGAAGCACACAGGTCCCATCTAGGGACCACCAAAACCACCATGAGATTGGAAACACCCCCTGAATGCCAACAGGTATTCCAAGATGTAACTCTGAAACACAGTTACCGGCCTTTACTCCTTATACATGGTCACGCAGCCAGCCAGACTGCAGTGGCAAGGCCGGTGTGAAGGTGCTTCCTCCGCTCCTTCTCACTGGGGTGTTTGCTTCAAAGTCTAATTACAGCCAATTAAAAGAGCATCTGTGGTCACAAAGTGTCTCTCTAATGATGCCAGAGTGGGAGCCCAGATTTATCTTCTCTCCCCACGCAACTTTTACCATGAATTTTCTTCCTGAATGAGGCACCACCACATGTGAGACACAACCACCAGTACCAAGCAGGTCACCCAGCAAAGAGATTTACATGTAATCCTTCAGCTCCCTCCCTGGGCCAGAAGATGTGGCAGCCCAAACTCCTCCAGAGCCCACGAACATCAGCAGACTGCGGCTGCGAGGTGAGGCTGATGAGGCCCTGCAATATGAGCAGCTTAAGAAGTCACCGCCCTGCAGCCAAGAAGCGGTGGCCAAATGTAAGAGCGCTCCTTCTCCTGCTCATTGCTAAGTTAAACCGGTTGACTACAGCCACCCCAGCAGGGTCACTCATTCTTTCAATCACACGGGTATATCGCAAACACTTACCCAACCATGCCCTCACTCTCCCCTCGCAGCTCGGGTGAGCTGGAGCTCACCAAAGAGGCCGCGCTGTATTAATATTCCCAGCAGAAGTGACACAGCTTAGCGGGGAGCCAATAACTTTAAGCAAGACAACGGCAATTTGACAGTGACTTTTCCTGACATGACTGTACTTAAAATGACAGCCTGGAAGTGTCTTGCTGATGAATGATGCAGTAGATGCAGAAGGCTAATGCTTTGATGTGGTAACAGCTGGGAATATGCCTCCCTCCCTGCTGAAGGTGGAAACTGTTGCTTCTTCACGACTATATTCTACGGGGTGCAGAAATGCTGAAGCCAAACTAGGACACACTCTAAGCTGATATAGAACAGCGAATGATCCAGAAATTTTCCTACTTAACTCACAAGACTAATGCAAACAACAGGGTGAATACCCTGCATTAAAAAGGCCAAATGTTAAGAATAATGCAACGTTTCTTTTGGGTGTAATAAAAACGCATTGTTAGCAAGGGGAGCTGACTGACACAGAACTACCGACACCAAACACTTAACGGGGATTCAGGAGCAGGTTCAATATTTTTAAGACAAAGAAAGTGCCAGCATGGTTTAGTAGTGTTAAAAAAAGTCAGAAGAGGCTTTGCTGAGGTTTAGGATGCAAGCCCACCCCTGAACATGGGTTAGTGGGCTACACCACTTCACCACAGGATTTCTTTGCACCTTTTTCTGAAGCATCTGCCCCTGGACAAGGGGAGACATGGGTTCAAGGCAGTCTGACAGCTCCTCTGCTTCTACGCCCATGCACCAGAGCGGAGGAAAGCGGAGTTAAGCAGCACTGTGGATGCACCAAGAGACTGTCCACTTTTACCCCACCAGAAGCAGAGCGTGGTCATCTCCTGCACGCTCACACAAGCCTCTGCACAAAACGGTGAGAGGGCTCTGGAGCTTCTGGAACCTTTCAGCTTATCTCAAATTCCCGACCACCCCAGGCTGCAAGCCTGTCAAAATCTCCCAGACGCTGCAGGTTCAGACAAGAAATCTCTGAGGACGCTGACAATTCAGCGAGAGGCAGCCTGATCCAGACCACGGCTTTAACCTGTACTGCAGCACCTTGCTGGCCGTGGCCTGTGATGCCTCGCAGCACAGAAACACCGAGAGTAGGCGCTAACGCATACAGGGACATTACCAGCAGAGGTGCCTGACGGCCACGCTGCCAGGATCAGGTGTCCTGTGTGAGTAATGCAACCTTCAGTCCAAGCTGCCATCGCACAAGCTTGCCTTTAACTCTGCCCTAAGCCTCACCATCCGAGACACTGACGCTTTAGTAGCCTGAGGAGTGGTGAAATGTCCCCATGACACACTGGACGGTGGCTCGGCCTCTGCAGCTATTCCTTCCATCCAGTCTACTGTGTCATGGGCTGCACCTCTTCTCCACCAAGTCCTGCTGGGCTCTTCCCTCCATCGAATCCCTCCGAGCTCTCTGCAGGCTCAACCGATCAGATGTAGAGGTCTGTGTGATGCTCAGCCTGCTCACTCGGCTCACACAGGATTTCCACGGAGCAATACCACGAGAGAGGTGAAGGGGATTTAACTCTACAACCAGCCATTCATGCCAGAGCAGCACAGCCAAGGGCAAGACACCCTGCTGTCCCCTGGCCATCGCTCCCTGAAGTTTAATTGTTTAATTAATGTTTGACTTAGTAATACAAATGCAAGGTTTCCAAGTAATCTCCCAGGAATCAGCTCTCTCACTAGCCAATTCTCCACTTACACCTGACCCATTTGACAGAAGTCAATATTCAATAACAAGCGTAATTGGCAAAGAAACCTGCCCAAGCACAGAGGAGCTTGCCAGCCTTCCCTTGCAGCTGCGCTCTGCTCCAAAGACCTTTCACTTCCCCTGCAATAAACAGCCTTCAATGACTGGAAACACTACAGGTTCCTGCAAATAGGCTGACATCCCGTGCCACCTCTTGGGAGCCCAGCTCTTAAACCCCACAGCAAAGAAGGGTCGGGGAGAGGCTCTGGGCTAGCAGCAGGCAAGAGGAGCGTGACTGCCAGCCCGGCACTGCTGCTCCGAGAAGGGCTGGCTGGAGCGCTCTGTCTCCCACGCAGCCCAACGAGATGGGTTTTATTGACTGCCAGCGTTGTTCAGCAATTGATTCACGGAGTTGCCTCGGGGACTCGCAGACTGACTCAGCAACAGTGAGGACTGGAATAGCTCTGTAGTGCCTGCCTTCCTCCTGCTCCCCCAGGTTCACCAAAGCCCTGCCTCCTCAAATTCGATCCCTCGGAAGGTCAGGAAAGAGTCTCTACCCCAGGCACACCCCAAATCTCATATGTATGTATGCATGCACACATACACATTTTCAACACTTAAGCCTGTTTTTCAGATTATTGGCAAAACAACAGTTGGCTTCAGCTAGCAGGGTGGGCACAAGATCTGCTCAGAAGTTGGGCTGCATTGCCAGTGGGTTGAGGGAGCGATCCTTCCTCTCTGCTCTGCACTGGTGAGGCCATAGCTGGGTGCTGTGTCCAGTGCTGGGCTCCCCAGTACCACAAAGACAGGGACGTACTGGAGGGAGTCCAACAAAGGCAAGATACAACAGGCACAAGCCAAATACAGGAATTTCTATTTAAATATTAAAAAAAACCCCAACATCTTTATTACAAATGTGGTCAAACACTGCAACAGAGGTTGTAGTGCATCCAGCCTTGGGGATATTCAAAACACAACTGGACGTGGTCCTGAGCAGCCTGCTCTAGTTCACCCTGCTTTGAGCAAGGTAGGGTTGGCACTGGATGATCTCCAGTGGAGAGCTCAACCATTCCATAAGTTCTCACCAACACCTCACTCACATTTTCTCTCACCACCAAAGTAATGAATCCTATACAGAAAACAGAGCTGTCACCACGTTCAGGGCAGGGAGGTGGTGCTCCCAGAATGAAAAAGTTCAAAAGTGCTCTGGAGACTCACAGAAGGGGAACAGCTGCCTTTCATCCTCTGCCCAAACTTCAGTTTCAGCCAAAGCCATGTGAGCAGAGGCCATTTCTAGGTCCAGGACCCCATGGACAACCCAACAGACAGCAGGCTAGCTCTTTCCACGAGTGGAAGCAGCAGCTCCCAGGTAATAGTAGAGAGGTGGGAGGAAATCAAAACCATAAATTTAAGCGGAAGTGATGTACCAGTGCCCTCTGCTGCTGACAGTTTTTATTCCCTGACTGAACAAAACCCCGAGGGCTCAGAAAGTGCACTCTATGCTTCAGACGCTTGCTGCTAAGTAGTAACAGCACTGCTCAACTCTAGGTTTGTGTCTGTGCCAGCAGATCAAGAGCAGAAAGCATATGAAAAACTGCAGCACTTACAGCCATGCTACAGGCTCATGTAGCACTGAGAGGCAGGCGGGAGGGATCCATGCTCGGCTTGCTGCATACAGGCAACACAGGACCGCAGGCTCTCGCTGAACAACCCCTCATGTGCTCCTTTGCAGCCCATGCTCCCTGCAGCAACTCCCCCTCCTCAGAGACCCCTGGACATTTTCTTGTTCGAGGACTCACCTTGAACCTGGGCACTCAGCTTCTCCAGGTCCTGCTCTGTCATGTGGGAAAATCTGCAGTTGGACCCAAAATCACACTGTCCTGTAACAAAAGCCACAGAGCTCCATGAGAGCTGCATAGACAAGGTCCTCCCTCGTGCATGTGCATGCAAGCCCAAGATCCGTTACACCTGTATGCCGGACACACAGGCCCAAGCCCTTCGCTCCCTCTAGAACAAACACACATACCAGGGCTCTCCAGATCAGCCTTAGGCTGGCTCGCAAAGGAGCTGCCGGAGCTCAAGCAGTTATTTCTACCTCAGAAGAACTCACCTGTTTGCAGAAACTTCCGACAAGGTTTCTTGGTTTGCTCCTCTTGCAGGATAGCGGCAGCATCTAGGGGAGACAAAGGACAAAACAGGGTAAAGATCTCTTGGACAGCAATGCCCTGTCATATCGTGGTCCCAAATAGGTCAGTTGCCTAGTGGGAAGCCATTTTACATGACAACCATGAATTTAAGCAACAGACAAATTGACAGTTAACAGTCCCTTTTTGTACCCCTGACTTCAGCTTTTCACTGGCTTGCAAATATCACCTCCTTTGCTTTCTGCTTCATGCTTTCTCCCCATGTCAGTAGGGGAAAAGAAGCATGACAGAAAAGCAAGGACCCTGCAGCCCTTCTGTGCAGCAGAGAAAGACCAGGCAGACTCACAGAGCCCTCAGAAAAGCTCTGTGCAAGGCCTCACCGAACCCTGTGCCAAGTCTCCAGTGGACACCACTGAAATACTCCTGCACCTCCCAGAGATGTCCTGGAGAAAGTGAGCCCCAAAGACACAGCAGCTCTAACAGACTGCAGGAGAACTTGCACTGGCTGATGCCAGGCCACAGCATCTGGAGACAAGAGATGAACCCCCTAATCATGGATGGGATGAGGAATTTTATCAATCAGAGGGAAATCAAGGGTTGCAGCCTGGTGAGAAGGTAATCTGCCTCACCATCACTAACCCAGCTAGAACTGTGCTGGGCTGTGATCCTCCACACTTGTGAGCCCTTCCAACATCCACATATGGTTAAGCAGAGAGCAGAGCCACACAGAGCTCCGCAGGGTATTCCTCCCCTAGCTAGCCAGGAGACAAACACAGCCTGCAACTCCTGATCCTGAGGAACCAGAAGGAAGCAGAGGAACATACAGGCAATGGTTTCACCATCCGTTGAACCTGAGCTAAGTCTTTCCTACTGCCAAAACACACAGTCCTGCCCTCAGGACCCTGGACACACATTCCCACTTGTATTCCTTAGGCTGGTACTAAAACACATGGCGAGCCAGGTCAGAGTGCTGAGCTGGGTGAGGAGAGTCCTGTTAAACAGGCAGAGGACACAGGGCTTTCCTCCAGCACGTCCTGACACAGCCTTCAGCCCCAAAACTCCAGTCCCTCCTCTGCCAAAACTCCAGTGCATCTAGCTCTCTTCCTCTGCTCCCCGCTTTGGCTAAGATAGGTTTGAGCATACCGTGCTTCGAGCTGCTTCCTGAACCCTCTCACCCTTCTGGGATCCCTAGTCAAGCAGTCGCATCCTCAGCCTCTCCCACAGCCACACTCAGAGCCAACATCTCCATCCAGTGCAGAGAATTGGGGCCAGCTTCCTGCCCATTCACACACCACGTGTGTTCAGCCTGCCTTCCAGCCCACTTTCGCCATCCGCACACATACCCACACATATTCCTTGCTCCTCGCACATCAGAGATCAACTCTGGTTTGCAGAAGGCCCCTAACTCACCTTCAGAAACTATAACTTGCTTTGTTCTCTCAGGTCTCCTGTCCCAGAGCTGCCTGTGATGCCAAGAGAGCTTTATCTGAAACTCCTGTTCTCAGAAACAACCTCCCTATCTCTTCCACCTCATTTTAAGTCCCAGCTGACATCTACCGTTTCCCCTTCACACATCCAAACACATGAGGGTTTTGCCTCTGAGACTGCTTCACAGCAACAGTATCAAGTCCACAATTTACTGGCACAATCTGAATATAAATCACCAGTGCTGATTTATTTTATCTATTCACCACAACCACCTCATCCATCACCTCCCCAGTCCCAGGAAGGGAGTGGCAGACAGTTGCTAGTACCCACCTCGGAATAAGTCGTACCAGACTCTCTTAGCCCTGAGATGCTGCACTCCATTGAGGTGCTTCTTCCTGTTGTGAAGGTTGTCCTGAAAGGACCTGTCGCAGTAGTCACAGAAGTATCTTTTCCCCATCTCTCTTCTGGCAGAGCAGCATCAGTGCGGCCTGGGAACCATCAGACAGATCCTCGGCGCCCAGCCATGCCTGCCCTGGGGACAGAGGATCCAAGATTTACAGCGCCTGCTTCCAAAGGAGAAGAGCTCAAATCATTTAGTGTTGGCAGACAGAGAAAGAGGCGAGACCCAATAGTATATATTCTTGTCCATCAGAGACTGGTAAGGCAGCATCTGCTGCATGTATATGGGAGAACAGGCTCGGATCTGCATTTCCTACCTCCATTACCCAAAGCAATGACGCCTCTGCTGAAAGAATTCTTCCCTGAGTGTGCTGGAGTTCAGATCACACAAAGCAGAGACCCCAGAGAGCCAACAGCTCACAGCCACCACCTGCACCAGGAAAGGTGCAGCAGAAACCATCCAACATGCAAGTAGGAGAGGCTAGAGGTCCATGCCACAGCCTCCACCTGGGGTCCCAGGACTTTAACCCTGGACTGCAGACAACCTCCACAAGCTGCCATGCAAGAGGAAGGAAATTCCCCCTGTGTCCATCTCTACAAGGTAAGGAAGAAACTCAGCAACTCCTCAAAGATGAAGAACAAAGCTGATCTCACGCATAGTGCAAGTGGGAAGCTGCATTACAAACACTAAAGGACATAACGCTTTGTTCAGTTCACCTAGCCACCTATTTACTCCTGTACATCAAGGACCGCTCTCCTCATCCTCCCCAGACTTCGGCAGCAAGATGCATCCGCTTCACTGAGTACAGCACTTGCCATGTCTAAGATCACAACAGCCTTACAGCCAGGAGGAAAGAACCTCCAATTCCACGGCCACTGAAAACGACCTGGAGATGCCCAGTCCTTCTCTCACAGGGGAGAGGTGTTTATCACACAGGTATTTGTAGGGGGGGAGCCTCTGCTGTGGCGTATCGAGGAGTAACAGGAGAGAATTTGGGTGCTCTCATCTGTGCTTGGCCTGGAGCAGCCCAGACCCTGGCAGGGCAGCTGGGGTTTCTGATTAAGTGCAGCCCTGTCCCCATCGGCTGTCCTTGCTGGAGGTGCAACAGATACCCTGAAGGAGCTCTAAGTTTTCTCCCAAGTGATATAAAGGTACCTGATAAACGCCAAAGATGGATGGACTGGAAGATAAACTCCAAAAGCAATTCTCCAGTTTTTGACATCTTGACAGCCAAATGCGTTTAAAAAATGGCACAGAGACCAGCGCAAGAAATAAAGATCTTATAAATAAAACAGGGTCAAAATCAATCACAGCCTCCCTAACAGTTCCTCAGAATCAGCGGGAAAAAGCAGCAGCAACAGGCAATCCCTCAGAGGCGAGCATGCAGAGCTAAGGCAGCTCTGCCAAGCCCTCCTGCCAGCCATCCATCCTGGCACCTCATGAGCAACTGCGCCAACCTCCCTTCCTTCCCCCGCTCCCGAGAATCGCCGCTTCAAAAAATCACATCCCTGGAAATGTCTCAGGCCTCACACCACATGTTAAAACACAGTTTCCTCCATCTGCACCCAGCTGCTTTCAAAGGAAAGATGTCCCCATTTTTTGGAATTGGCTTGCAAACCTTCATGCTGAAGGTAAAATGTTCAGAGACTCAACTGAACTTGAAATCTCTTTGGTTTAAGGTCCTTTCCATGTTCTCCGGGTGAAATACCTTGTTGGGAGGTGGTGCTGATCAGGCAACCATCTCTCCCCGATGCCACTGCCAACTGCTTCACCTGCAGACACAATCAGACCTGGCTCCTGCCTGGAAGGTGTAATCCAGCTCTGCAGGGCTCGAGGTCTGAAATCGTCCTAATTCCAGCCCAAGAAACCAAAACTTAGTGCTGCTTAATGAGCATTAAGCCACAATTTCCCCCCATCCTCTACTAGATCATCCCAGAGTTTTGCAGCCAGCTTTGCTGCACTGTGGTGGGGCTGCTGGAATCCAGAGGGAATGCTCTTACCCTCAGTGTCTGGCCCGCTGGCAGGCTCTGCTGTGGCTTTTAAGTATTGAAAAATCCCCCTTCCGCATCTTATGCCATGGTCTCCCAAAGTTTCTGGTAACATAAAAGCTTCCTGCTTCAGCTGCTGGCTCCTGCATTCCACCTCTGCAGAAGCGGCTGCTGTGAACGGGGAAAACAAATGAGATTCTGCAGTGGTCCCACACAAGTTTCCACAGATCTCACTGGGAATTCTGCCTGCAGAAGCCCAGCAGCAGCCAGCCTTTGAAATCGTATTTCAAACTTTTCCTTTCATCACCCTGATGGCAATAATTGCAGAAGCTCATTCCCCCTCCTTCCCCAACAACGAGGGCAAAAAGCTCCTACAGATTTCAGGCAGCCAGATCCCACACCCTAGAGGTGCTGGCTCCCAAATTCTCCCAGCAATTCCCATTACAGGGGATGAATGGAATAAAAAAAAGCAATTAGAGGAGCATCTGATTCTCCCAGAGATCGCCCCCTCCAAAGATTACACTGAACACTTATTTCCATCTTTTTAAGAATTCAATTGCATGGATTATCTTGGCTGGATTCTGACAACTCTCTGCAGTATCGGTGTCCACAGCTCTTGGCGCTGAACTAGTACATAGGCATAAAAGCTGCTTCTGAGCAGCACTGGCTAACCTATTTCCATTTTCCCAAATGGCTCAAACAGTAAACAAAGAGCATTATTCAGTTGAAAACAGAGATGTTTTCTAATTAAATCCATCTTAGCCATTATGAAATAAAGTAAATGTAGCTGCTTTATAAAGAGCTGCTTCAGCTTAGCCATTTCCTCTTAACATTTCTAGACCCTAATTTGCAATTGAATTCAGGCGAACAGACCCCTGGACCCACACAGGCAGCCGTAAACGATTTCCGACAGGCTTTGTACCAGCTTAAAAGTCTTTCTGTGTAAATCCAAATACAAAAAAAAAACAACCCAAAACCAGGGCTTTGTCTTGTATGTCAATGCTTAAAAGTATTAACAAAAAAATCCTCGGCTGTAAGCCTCTTGGAGCAATGTTTTAGAAGAGAGAGCATGTTCTAAGACACCTAGCAGGTGTTTCGCTCATCTCGCTGAGGTGCTTGGTAAAACTCCAGGCAAGATCTCATGTGCACCATCCTACATTTTCCCTTCTCAAATCACTGCCAAAACACTCCACATTGCGCTCTACTAGCAACAGACTTTATTCAGGACTCTCCGGGGGTTCTTTCACTGATTTCCCCGAGATGTGGACAGAGGAAAGAAGGTGACCCAGAAATGGGCATGCAGCAGACTTGTTTTCGTCTGGGTGTAACTGCTTTTCTCCACGCCGAACCCTGAGAAATGCTGCTGGGCCTTGACCTCAATTTCCTGCTTGCTTATAGACCCGGCTTGGGGCCATTTCAGCCACTTTGGGTATCCAGACAGATGTGAAGTTAATTAAATCCAAGTGTCAAGCTTATGATACTCAGCTGCCAATTTAAACGTGCTCGTGTCTCCGCAGGAACGCGCAAAATGCCAGCTGAGTCTGCCAGCACCTTTGCAATGACAGAGGGACAGCTTCTGATTTCTATTGTGCCCGGTGTAAATCCAGAGCCACTGTCTTGATTCGGGATTAACGTCACCCTGACTGTTACACAAAGCCGGCCTAGTGGTAGCAGTTTATAGGCTACTGGGGAGATTTGTCTGAGAGGCAATCCCTAGCAGTTAACTTTGAAAAACAGTAATTGAGTCATATAATCATTTAGGTTGGAAAAGCCCTTTAAGATCATCAAGCCCAACCATTCCCCTAACCCTGCCATCCCACCACTAAACCCTGGCCCTAAGCACCACGTCAGCCCAGCTTTTAAATCCCCCCAGGGGTGGGGACTCCTCCCCTGGGCAGCCCCTTCCAGCGCCTGACAGCCCTTGCGGGGAAGGAATTTTTCCCAATGTTCAACCTCACCCTGCCCTGGCACAACTTGAGGCCCTTTCCCCTCATCCCATTGCCCCTTCCCTGGGAGCAGGGCCCAACCCCCCCTGGCTCCCTCCTCCTGTCAGGCAGTTGTATGGAGCGATGAGGGCTCCCCTCAGCCTCCTCTTCTCCAGGCTGAACACCCCCAGCTCCCCCAGACGCTCCCCATCAGCCTTGGGCTCCAGACCCCTCACCAGCTTGTCAATGGGCCAGCCTAAGGGGTAACATTATATACAGGGAACATTCCAGGCCCCTTCCAGCACCAGCAGTGGTTTTGCCCCTCCCCAGAAATCACACAGTAGCTACACGCAGGGAACCAAACATAAATAAATAAAGAGAAATGACTATGCAGCCAGACTACCCACTCTTCCTGAGCGGTGGAGACAAATGAAATGACAGAGCGAGCGTCACTTGAAGATCTGTTCTGAAATTTAATGTAGATGCTCGTTTAACAACAATCCTGCTGGCGGGATGACTTCAATTTTAAGATTCCCCCACCTCAGCTTGTCTGTCCTCCCTTTCCAAACCCCAAACCACCTCACTTCCCCACCAGTGCTGGAGCCACCCTGGGGCCCCTCTGCCCTCACTGAGGTGAAACAGAAAGAAAAACATGAAGAGAATAAGACAAACGAGGATGCTGCCACTTCAGCCCTGCCACATGGGGCCATGTCACGCTCCTCCTGAGGCCTCCAGAGCCACTGTCTGAGCATCCTCTCTGTCCTCTTTTGGGAGCCATAGCATCCATCTCCCGCTCATGCTACACTGATGGCACTTACCACCCTCTGCAGCTGGCCCAAAGAAGAAGAACACCCCCCCCAACCACCCCTGCCTCCTCAGCGGGGTTGGCAGAGGAGGACACGAACACAAACCCCTCTTTCTTCTCCTTTCCACCATAGCAGGGGGTGTCTCCTGCCTCTAGCAAGGCCTGCAGCCCCACAGCCGGTGTTAGGCCCGTCCTGCAGCCGGGGAGGGGCTCACCCCACACCCCTCGTTTTTGCTGTAGCTGAAATAAGGGCTTCAGCCGGTCGGCCTGCGCTAACTGTGCTGATTTCACCTCAAAAAAACCCAAACAAACCAGAAAATAAAGACTCGGGTTGCCCAGCGGAAGCCGCTGATGAGAACGGGTGCCAGGAGAGGACGGTGCTTCGATCCGCAGCCCGGGCAGGGCCCTCAAGCCGCCTCCCCTCAAACCGGGCCCAACCCCCCGCCCGGCGGCACTCACCTCCCGCCG